GGGGGGGGGGGGGGGGGGGGGGGGGGGGGGGGGGGGGGGGGGGGGGGGGGGGGGGGGGGGGGGCGTTGATGGTATGTTGAGTTCGGTACTTTCGCAAACTACTGCTGTTGGTGTTTTTGGCTTCATACACAGGTTTAGGGCAATACGGCCCCCACACACTCGGGAGAGAAAGGGCGGGGCACTCTCCAGGCAGGGACCCAGACAGACACAGAGGGTCCTTACATCTTTACACGCCCCTTCCAGAAGTCAGTTCACTTCCACAATCCTACCCGTAATACTTCCCTCAAATCATTTGGGGAGCAAACCATGCTTTTGTCGTCCTTCATCCAAGAACCGTTTGTGAGCCGAAGAGCAGCAGTCCTCTGTAACAAGCCCAACAGCCTGCAAATATTCATCAGGATGCCCATGGTACGCACCTCAAGTAGCAGTGCGGTAACAACGAAGACCCGCCAGCCCGCCAAACAAAACCCATTTATATGATAAATTTAAATTATCTGTATACAGTTGCGTTGCATACGATAGCAACAACTTGGCGGACCGATCGACCCACGACCGGCGGCTACTGGCTGTCGCACACGCACGCGAAGGATAGACACCAAAGGAAGACCTGGTCTCGCTCTCGTGGATGAGTTGCGCAGTGCAGCAACGTTCCAGACCTCGTCTCTGGCGTTTTATGGTCTCCCTCTCGTACGGTTGTGCAACACGGCCGCGACCGAACCCAAACCTTTCCAAGTTTAGTTCAACCTGGTCGGGTAGCAGGTAGCCTCGAGGCGCATGATGCAGATGCACACATTGAATACAGATCGTTTGCGTCTGTTCGATAGCTACACGAGGTGTTTTAACTACACAAACACACGATGGAGAATGAGGTGCAATCAACCCCCCCCCTCCCCTTAATCGGGTTTTCGTCGCTTGGCAACGACATTGTAAAACAAGACAATACACTTCGTGAACTCGGCAACCAGGTTACCATTTTTTTTTTTTTACCTCTGTTTTTTTTTTTGCGGATATCATAGTGGTGGTCGAGTAGATCATGATGTGCGGGGTGGAGAACCCTCACTCCGCGCAAGGGGGATGATCGCACCACCTTGTGATATAATGGTCAAGCACCCTCGAGGCAGTTACACAGTGCTTACAACTGTCTCTCGAAGTGCAAGCACCAGAAAATGAATTACGTCATACGCAGCTGTCATCCGTACGCAAGGAAGTAAGCACAAGATGCCGAACACCNCCGGCTTTGGAGGGATGCGAGGTCAATGGTCAAACGACTACGGCATGCACGACTATGAGTACACCCCCCGCCCCCATCCCGCTGATGAACATTGCATGGCGGAGACCTCTCCAAGAGTTACATCTACCACGCTCCGTGTCACACCTGCAACATCCCATCCACGGCCTCCGCTATGTTGGCCACCCTGTGCACGCGACTGGCTGCTATTCTGCTGTTGTTCTTGCCCCCGTCCGTTGCATGTCGACTGACCACAGACGGAGGCTTCGGTGGTGCTTGTTGGAGGGAGTCGTGCCAGCGAGCACGACAGCTTCAACGGAGCATGCAGCGCGAAGATCGTAACTCCGCCACCGGGCGGCGAGATCTCCGGGAGCAATCATCAAGCGAATCAGTCCTGGGGTGGGGCAGCGGGCGCCGCAGCAGGTGCGACGAAATCGTGGGGTTCGCTTGTGGTCGATGCCCCGTGCGTTCGGTGCAACACTGCTGTGTGGGGTGCGGTGGCATCAAACAGCATCTCGCCGATGGAGATACTTCGAAAAATTGAGCAAGGGTTGGGAGAAGTGGTCTATTCAAAAACGAAAAGCCGAGGGGGGGGGGCGTGAAGCGACGCAGGGGGGGCGGTGACTCGTTTTGTCGGTGGTATCATCGACAGCGATATCCAACTCACGATCAAACCGGAGATAGTCGCTGAATAACCCGAATAGAGTCGCACGTGCCATAGAGGATACACGGACAGACGTTGGAAAGGCGGCTCCCGACCATGTGTTTTTCCAGTTTCCAAGGGCTATAAACCGGGGAAAGCGGTCGCTTGTTAAATTGACGCTGTATCTCCTGTTAGCTAGAAGGCAGGTGCGGGTTACAACATGCTGACGTTTCTGATATTCCCGGTGTCATCCGAATGTGTGTCGTGTCCTGCTTTGCCTTGCCGCTGTCGCCTTCTGTTGTGCCAGATGGGGGACGCTTGCTGGCCACCATGGTCGTCGGGGAGGGCGGAAAGGCGCTGCTCGCCCAGTTCTACCAAAAACACGGCTGTATCGCCATCTCTGACGTCACCAGGCAAGAGACCCTCCAATCAGCGTCTCGTAGTCGATAACTCTCAATACCGCTGCTGGTTCAGTTGCTTAACGCTTGCTGCGTCAAGGATGAGCGTGCTATGCCGCCAGTACGATCAGTGACACTCTGCCGCCGTTCTTTTTTCGAGACAAAGAACCACCCACTGTCTCTTGGCGCCCATCCACCCTATCTACGCTGCTTGGTACACACACTACGCGGCGAACACGCATTATTTTCTCGCTTTTTTTTTTTTGTCTCACATCCATGTGTTTGCCGTGCTCCCACCGCCCCTCTCCACGCTACCCCCAGAGGTCTCCACCGAGGGTTCGTCCGTCTACGCATTGCGCAGCCTCGCGGTAGCGGTAGCAACAGAGCCGCAGGCGGCGGGGTCCAGTGCATGGCCGGTTCCTTGACCGCTAACAGCGGCCTCGTTTTCCTCGGGAGAGCAGGCCTTTCGGCGCTACAGGTGCAAGCAGGGCTAAGATGGCTGGGGTGGGATATTTGCGGAAATATTCGGGCGAAGTTGCCTTCTGTTGAGCCTCCCTCGTCAACCACTTGTATCGCCACTTGTATCATTAGTGCGAATGGTCACGAGCTAGCCGAATTGAAGACGTTGGGGAACTGAACGGCTGTTAGTCATGAACCCGTGTTGGTCCCGTTGCGGTTGAGGTAAGACAAGATCACCCAGGCCATCCCCCTTATATTCTCGCTTTTGTGCCCGAACTAAAAGAAGGCGCTGTCGTGGATGCGGTCAGTTTTTTTGTCTTATACTGTACTGGGCCGTCCGCCAAGTCGCGAATCCATTTTTGTAGAGTCTGGATCGTGTGTTCACGTGTTTTTTGTGTCTAGACGGCTCGCATGATGTTCTGGTAAATTACTGGTACACAGGAAGGAACACCTGACTTTTAGCCTAGCCTTACAGCCCCGGCGTAGTGTTCCCTCTGCTCCATCGCCGGACACACTCATGACCTCTTCGCCGGACACCGCGCACGCACACACCCACGCACACGCCATGTTTTCGATCGTCCACCTCCAAGCAGGCGGTCAGAGTCGACCCCTGGGACGGCCTTGGCTCCCTCAGCCAACCCCTACCCGACTCGGGACCCGTGCTAGCCGTGGCCTGTCACCCTTCGAGGACCATCGTTGCTGCCTGCCTATCCGACGGTACCATATGTCTGTGGGACTACGATAGCGCGGATGGGCGAGGGAGCGGCCGTTTCTCTGGGGGCGGAGGAGGGGGGGGGGGGGGGGGGGGGGGG